TATTATTAAGATTTTGTTGTAACCCCCCTACAGATAATCTTACCTTGATTGTTATTATTAAGATTTTGTTGTAACCACCATACAGGTAATCTTACCTTGATTGTTATTATTAAGATTTTGTTGTAACCACCATACAGATAATCTTACCTTGATTGTTATTATTAAGATTTTGTTGTAACCACCATACAGGTAATCTTACCTTGATTGTTATTATTAAGATTTTGTTGTAACCACCATACAGGTAATCTTACCTTGATTGTTATTATTAAGATTTTGTTGTAACCACCATACAGATAATCTTACCTTGATTGTTATTATTAAGATTTTGTTGTAACCACCATACAGGTAATCTTACCTTGATTGTTATTATTAAGATTTTGTTGTAACCACCATACAGGTAATCTTACCTTGATTGTTATTATTAAGATTTTGTTGTAACCACCATACAGATAATCTTACCTTGATTGTTATTATTGTGTTGTAACCCCCCCTACAGGTAATCTTACCTTGATTGTTATTATTAAGATTTTGTTGTAACCCCCCTACAGATAATCTTACCTTGATTGTTATTATTAAGATTTTGTTGTAACCACCATACAGATAATCTTACCTTGATTGTTATTATTAAGATTTTGTTGTAACCCCCCTACAGATAATCTTACCTTGATTGTTATTATTAAGATTTTGTTGTAACCCCCCTACAGATAATCTTACCTTGATTGTTATTATTAAGATTTTGTTGTAACCCCCCTACAGATAATCTTACCTTGATTGTTATTATTAAGATTTTGTTGTAACCACCATACAGATAATCTTACCTTGATTGTTATTATTAAGATTTTGTTGTAACCCCCCTACAGATAATCTTACCTTGATTGTTATTATTAAGATTTTGTTGTAACCCCCCTACAGATAATCTTACCTTGATTGTTATTATTAAGATTTTGTTGTAACCACCATACAGATAATCTTACCTTGATTGTTATTATTAAGATTTTGTTGTAACCCCCCTACAGGTAATCTTACCTTGATTGTTATTATTAAGATTTTGTTGTAACCACCATACAGGTAATCTTACCTTGATTGTTATTTTTAAGATTTTGTTGTAACCACCATACAGGTAATCTTACCTTGATTGTTATTATTAAGATTTTGTTGTAACCACCCTACAGATAATCTTACCTTGATTGTTATTATTAAGATTTTGTTGTAACCACCCTACAGATAATCTTACCTTGATTGTTATTATTAAGATTTTGTTGTAACCACCATACAGATAATCTTACCTTGATTGTTATTATTAAGATTTTGTTGTAACCCCCCTACAGATAATCTTACCTTGATTGTTATTATTAAGATTTTGTTGTAACCCCCCTACAGATAATCTTACCTTGATTGTTATTATTAAGATTTTGTTGTAACCACCATACAGATAATCTTACCTTGATTGTTATTATTAAGATTTTGTTGTAACCCCCCTACAGATAATCTTACCTTGATTGTTATTATTAAGATTTTGTTGTAACCACCCTACAGATAATCTTACCTTGATTGTTATTATTAAGATTATGTTGTAACCACCATACAGATAATCTTACCTTGATTGTTATTATTAAGATTTTGTTGTAACCCCCCTACAGATAATCTTACCTTGATTGTTATTATTAAGATTTTGTTGTAACCACCATACAGATAATATTACCTTGATTGTTATTATTAAGATTTTGTTGTAACCACCATACAGGTAATCTTACCTTGGTTGTTATTATTAAGATTTTGTTGTAACCACCCTACAGATAATCTTACCTTGATTGTTATTATTAAGATTTTGTTGTAACCACCATACAGATAATCTTACCTTGATTGTTATTATTAAGATTTTGTATTAACCACCATACAGATAATCTTACCTTGATTGTTATTATTAAGATTTTGTTGTAACCACCATACAGGTAATCTTACCTTGATTGTTATTATTGTGTTGTAACCACCATACAGATAATCTTACCTTGATTGTTATTATTAAGATTTTGTTGTAACCCCCCTACAGATAATCTTACCTTGATTGTTATTATTAAGATTTTGTTGTAACCCCCATACAGATAATCTTACCTTGATTGTTATTATTAAGATTTTGTTGTAACCCCCCTACAGATAATCTTACCTTGATTGTTATTATTAAGATTTTGTTGTAACCCCCCTACAGATAATCTTACCTTGATTGTTATTATTAAGATTTTGTTGTAACCACCCTACAGATAATATTACCTTGATTGTTATTATTAAGATTTTGTTGTAACCACCCTACAGATAATCTTACCTTGATTGTTATTATTAAGATTTTGTTGTAACCACCCTACAGATAATCTTACCTTGATTGTTATTATTAAGATTTTGTTGTAACCACCCTACAGATAATATTACCTTGATTGTTATTATTAAGATTTTGTTGTAACCACCCTACAGATAATCTTACCTTGATTGTTATTATTAAGATTTTGTTGTAACCACCCTACAGATAATCTTACCTTGATTGTTATTATTAAGATTTTGTTGTAACCCCCCTACAGATAATCTTACCTTGATTGTTATTATTAAGATTTTGTTGTAACCCCCCTACAGATAATCTTACCTTGATTGTTATTATTAAGATTTTGTTGTAACCCCCCTACAGATAATCTTACCTTGATTGTTATTATTAAGATTTTGTATTAACCACCATACAGATAATCTTACCTTGATTGTTATTATTATGTTGTAACCACCATACAGATAATCTTACCTTGATTGTTATTATTAAGATTTTGTTGTAACCCCCCTACAGATAATCTTACCTTGATTGTTATTATTAAGATTTTGTTGTAACTACCATACAGATAACATTACCTTGATTGTTATTATTAAGATTTTGTTGTAACCCCCCTACAGATAATCTTACCTTGATTGTTATTATTAAGATTTTGTTGTAACCACCATACAGATAATCTTACCTTGATTGTTATTATTAAGATTTTGTTGTAACCCCCCTACAGATAATCTTACCTTGATTGTTATTATTAAGATTTTGTTGTAACCCCCCTACAGATAATCTTACCTTGATTGTTATTATTAAGATTTTGTTGTAACCACCATACAGATAATCTTACCTTGATTGTTATTATTAAGATTTTGTTGTAACCACCATACAGGTAATCTTACCTTGATTGTTATTATTAAGATTGTGTTGTAACCACCATACAGATAATCTTACCTTGATTGTTATTATTAAGATTTTGTTGTAACCCCCCTACAGATAATCTTACCTTGATTGTTATTATTAAGATTTTGTTGTAACTACCATACAGATAACATTACCTTGATTGTTATTATTAAGATTTTGTTGTAACCCCCCTACAGATAATCTTACCTTGATTGTTATTATTAAGATTTTGTTGTAACCCCCCTACAGATAATCTTACCTTGATTGTTATTATTAAGATTTTGTTGTAACCCCCCTACAGATAATCTTACCTTGATTGTTATTATTAAGATTTTGTATTAACCACCATACAGATAATCTTACCTTGATTGTTATTATTATGTTGTAACCACCATACAGATAATCTTACCTTGATTGTTATTATTAAGATTTTGTTGTAACCCCCCTACAGATAATCTTACCTTGATTGTTATTATTAAGATTTTGTATTAACCACCATACAGATAATCTTACCTTGATTGTTATTATTAAGATTTTGTTGTAACCCCCCTACAGATAATCTTACCTTGATTGTTATTATTAAGATTTTGTTGTAACCACCATACAGATAATCTTACCTTGATTGTTATTATTAAGATTTTGTTGTAACCCCCCTACAGATAATCTTACCTTGATTGTTATTATTTTGTTGTAACCACCATACAGGTAATCTTACCTTGATTGTTATTATTAAGATTTTGTTGTAACCACCATACAGATAATCTTACCTTGATTGTTATTATTAAGATTTTGTTGTAACCCCCCTACAGATAATCTTACCTTGATTGTTATTATTAAGATTTTGTTGTAACCCCCCTACAGATAATCTTACCTTGATTGTTATTATTAAGATTTTGTATTAACCACCATACAGATAATCTTACCTTGATTGTTATTATTATGTTGTAACCACCATACAGATAATCTTACCTTGATTGTTATTATTAAGATTTTGTTGTAACCCCCCTACAGATAATCTTACCTTGATTGTTATTATTAAGATTTTGTATTAACCACCATACAGATAATCTTACCTTGATTGTTATTATTAAGATTTTGTTGTAACCCCCCTACAGATAATCTTACCTTGATTGTTATTATTAAGATTTTGTATTAACCACCATACAGATAATCTTACCTTGATTGTTATTATTAAGATTTTGTTGTAACCCCCCTACAGATAATCTTACCTTCATTGTTATTATTAAGATTTTGTTGTAACCACCATACAGGTAATCTTACCTTGATTGTTATTATTAAGATTTTGTATTAACCACCATACAGGTAATCTTACCTTGATTGTTATTTTTAAGATTTTGTTGTAACCACCATACAGGTAATCTTACCTTGATTGTTATTATTAAGATTTTGTTGTAACCACCCTACAGATAATCTTACCTTGATTGTTATTATTAAGATTTTGTTGTAACCACCATACAGATAATCTTACCTTGATTGTTATTATTAAGATTTTGTTGTAACTACCATACAGATAACATTACCTTGATTGTTATTATTAAGATTTTGTTGTAACCCCCCTACAGATAATCTTACCTTGATTGTTATTATTAAGATTTTGTTGTAACCACCATACAGATAATCTTACCTTGATTGTTATTATTAAGATTTTGTTGTAACCACCATACAGGTAATCTTACCTTGATTGTTATTATTAAGATTTTGTTGTAACCACCATACAGGTAATCTTACCTTGATTGTTATTATTAAGATTTTGTTGTAACTACCATACAGATAATCTTACCTTGATTGTTATTATTTTGCTGGTTGTTATTAGAACTGTTTTTGTTTATCCTGTTTGAGAATGATTTATTGCCTCTCCTTGTTGTGACGAGAATGCTGGCAGATTTTCCTGGGGATTTTATTATTTGTATTGGTCCTAATGCGGAATCCGGGATCTTCATTATTTTACCGGTTGAACTGCTAAAATCGAATAAGTCATCATCAGATCCACTACTAAGAATGGATAATGGTTGTTTACTTGCACTCTCTCCATGTGTTATTATTTTTAACACTGTCGGCCCTGGACCTCCATTTGGTGTCAATTTAATCATCTTGTTTCTCGATTCGTCCCCAGTTCTTCCTAGTGCACTCTTCCATAAGCTTGAAATATACTTTTCGGCTGTAAATAAACAGCAAACATCATTTAAGTATCCAGACCATAACGAAATATTTAAGTGAATATATTTCTTTTTTTTCTAAAAAATCAAATCAAATCAAAGTAATAAACATTATTTCTGATAGATGTTGATGTATTTTTTTTTTAAGTAGAAAAAAGTGATGTAAATACACTACAATTATTTAAATAAATCCTCCAAAGATATCTAGGCTAGATGATTGGATTTCCCGTAGACTTGCGATATTCATGGATATCAAATAGAACATCCAGGAAATTTTAAATAATCATGTGGTATTATCTGAAAAAAAGAATTCAAAAAATATCTAGAAGGAAAACAAACAACAGAAAACACCACTGCTAAAGAAAAATGAAAAAAAAAAAACAACTCCACAAACCAGCTCAAAAAAACTTGTATTTGCACATACCGACTCTAAATAAATCTTTATGTCTAGACTTATGTCTTATGTCTTAGCCATTATATTGCCAAACTAACTGCAAGTGGTGTTAAACATGAACAAACAAACAGAAGAAAAAAACATTGAATAATTAACACAACACTCCCATCCCAATAACAAAAACATGGATCTGACTCGGATGATCCGGAAAGGGTAGTTGTTCCTGCTTCTCTTTTGACACATGTCGTGTTACCATGCCAATAAGTCAGGTGTTAATGCTTCATACCATTAAGTATTGGCACGTGTCTCTTAACATGACAGCAATTAAGAAAACATCAATTACAACAATGAAAATAATTACTGTCATTACTCCTTAATTATAGGATGACTTCAATGTAAGAAAATTCTAGTAAATCATCTGTTGTGACGGCAAGAACATTTAATGGGCCATTGATATTAGATATTTTAAAAATGTTCGGAAATTTACTAGATTCTAGGTCACTAGGCTAAAGACAGTATATCATTAACATTTACATGATGGAAATCTTGTACTTGATAAATTCTTCAAAATGTGGACCTTTTTCAGATATGGGTGTGTACCGCATATAAATGAAGAACAGCACGTGTGGGAGCAATAAATCACGTGTGTGTGTGTGAAATAAATCACGTCACACGGTAGTCTAGAATAATTTGACCCTTCAAATAAGGAATTAGAAAATAAGCAGTTCTGAAATCGATGTCCTGTTTTTTTTTTCTGTTGTTATTCGGTGTTCATGTCATGCAGATCTCAGATTTCCTCTGTTAAATTAATTTACATTTTGTGTATTCTTGCTATACAGTGTGTGCATTTGCCCATTGTTGAGGTCTATTTGTTTTGTCTCTATACGCTATCTCAGTGTCTAATTTTCGATTACCTCTCGACAGTGTCGAAAGTTATTTAATTGTTCGTTCGCGACGTTTTCTGATATATCTGCCTACTAAATGGAGGAAATGAGTGTTTCTGCCTAAAACCTCTGAGAACATTAAAAGTAGAAGATTGTACTGTAAAAGCCTAATTGGTCATAACACCTGATTATTTAAATATATTTTAACAAACTGTGTGTGTGTGTGTGTGTGGTTGGCGTTTTAATCAACGTGAATGATGACCTTGCCCAGGTCCTATGTTTTGCCTTGAATCATATTTCATTGACACGTGGTTTCGCCCGGGTTAATCCTTCAAAAAAAAATCGCATCGTTCTGAAAGGAAATAACTCCATATGAATGTTAAGAGAAATTGTGTGCACCAAATAATTTGTCTATGAACTATTACACTTTCAGCCTATGTGTTTTATGAAGCACTGCATCGGTGAATTGAGTTTCTCGTCTAATTTTGAATATGAAATAAATGTACCATACTGTTTTAGTAAGCACGACATGCACATACTGCAAAACCCAAACTCTTAGGAAAGTAAAGAGAGTCAGCTTAACTTGATGACTTGAATTAATACTTTGAGGTTTTGTATACTAGAAAAATGAGAAACGTATATAAATAGAAACCTTCATGGCATTAGTCAGAAAAGCAAAATATTTTTTAACATGCACGGTTTAAATATTTCTACAAGAGTTGTTAATTCGACAGTATAATCACTGAAATATTTTATGATGTAGATTAAGATCATGGGTTAAATAATTTATCATTCCCTACACAAATCTGCTTTAGAAGAAAGAATCAAATCATGACACAGGGATGGATTTTTTTAATTAAAACATCTCGTGTGATTCCCAAATTCGTGCGCGGGATATCTTGGTGGAATAACTTACATGTATCATGTATGCGTGAAACCACAATTTTGGAAAGTAAAATCAATGAAAAAAAATGTGTGTGATCGAATATCATATATTATTGATAGTCAGTATTCAAAAAGACAAAAAAATTATGGTATTAAAAAACAAAATAATGTGAAATTGAAAAATAAGAATGGGTTAAAAAATTGTATGAAAATAGAAATGAACCAAATGGTAACAAGTTACGAACTTATAGATTGTATAAAAATGAATTAGTAACAAGTTCATATCTGAAAAATGTAAATGATAGACAACATAGATGTACTTTATCTAATTTTAGAAGTGGGTGTCTACCATTAGCAATAGAGACAGGTCGTTACACGAAGCCAAAAAAACTCTTCTTTATGACCGAAAATGTTAATATTGTGTAGAAGATGAAAAAAAAACTTTTTGTAATGCATTGTGAACTTTATTCAGATCTGCGATATAATTTACAGCCGATTTCATTGAGTGTGTAGGAAAAGGTAATATCCTTTAGTCTACTCATATAGGAGGGTGGTTTAACTAACCTAATACTGACTTCACGGTTGAGCTAGCAAGCAAGCTAACCAAAGATATTACCTTTTCCTACACACTGATTGAAATCGGCTGTAACGATTTTAATAATGATGACATAGTCAAATTCATTTTTCTGAAGTCACATGACCCTATACAATCTTTTTTAGCGAAATCTTTATATTCTATGTTTAATCGCAGACAAAAATGTGTACAGTATGTTCTTTTATTGTAAATGCTTTATTTATTCATTTTTAATGAATGTTAAAATATTAAAAGTATTTAATTGAAAGTGTCTCATAAGTCAGTTTTGGCTGGATACCGATATTTTAACACAGATTAAAATCTTTTTTGTATTTTTAAACTTGTGTTATGATGCATGATATTGTTTTATATTGGTATGTGACACTATAATAAAATATTCTGTCTGTGTGTCATAAAAGGACCGCGAAAGACCAACCAATTCTTCAAATGTCAACTTGATGATTTTTGAATTTTTATACTTAATTTATGAACTGGAAGACCGACAAAAATCCATCATTCAAATCGGTCAATCACGTGATAAAAGAGAACGAAACATGTCAATAATATAAACTACCAAGAAAAGTCCAGAAAAGTACAAGTCAAATCAAAATGTGCTCACGTTGACATAGCCATGGCAAAATACGGAAAACTAAGAAAAAACGAACAACCAGTCTACAAAAATCAACATGTTAGTAAACTAAAGACTGGGCAATACGAACCCTACCTAAAACTGGTGGCGTTGGAAGGGGATCAAGAAAAGTATGCTGATAACTTGGTGAAGGATTTTACGGTAGATTATCAGAATGGGAAAAAGTATGAACCGAGACGAAGTCGAAAGTGTTATGTTTTCTAATTATGGGTATCTACCCTTACTCCATCCACCAAAGGAAGTGTGTTTTATATTATACTGAATGATCAGATGGTGGTATATCACCACGTGGTATATTCTTCATGTAAATACAATATTATCCTTTGTTTTGGTAGGTAGGACTTACAAAGTTTACAGAAAAATACCACACTTGAATCGACCAATTTACCTTATTTTTCTAGAATTTGCATAAAGTATATTTCAAGTTTTACTTTACACTTTACACGAACTGACTTTCAACAAAAACGTGAATGTCTTTACTTATATGATGTAACAAGTGGCACCGGTAAGTAAGTATACTAGTTTCTTTGTTTTATTTATAAATATCAGTGATATTTTGACAAGAAACAATGCGTTGCTAAAATATTTACAAACCGCATTAACGAGGGCTAGACATACAAACCTGGCCATGACATAAAGATGTAATCTTTACAATTTACATAATAAATAAGGTATGCATACCACAAAATTGAAAGTAAGAACTTAAAAAAAAGACATCAACGGGACAATTTAAGGTCATTAGTCAAAGAAAAAACAACAACATCATTACTAAAAACGATAAACCACAAAAAGACACATAATCATCTACAAAACATTGCACAGAAAACTAAGAACTGACCAATATGGTTGACCTCAGGTGCTCCGGAAGGAAAAGCTGCGTTTGCTCCACGTGTGGCACCCGTCATTTTGCCCATGGCAATTACAAATTATGTGATAAGTCTCTTTCGGTGATGTTACAATCGAGGAAATATGTCAGGTGTGTTTCTTTGACAATTGAATCATTTGAATTTTTTGATGGGGATGATATTGCTTTGTGTTCAGCATTGTAGTTTTGTAGGTGTATCAATTATTTATCATTTAATGTTTTATTTATATCACCGTTTTTGTCACGTAGTTGTTATAGTGTATGAGTGCCATGAGGAATATATATCACAATGTTAGAAGTAATATATGTATTAATGCTCACTGGAATCACATGTCAACGTATATTTGTCCCGCCTACCAGACGTTCCCATGGAAACTTTGTTATAAACAATGCCATAATAGCTGTTCCTGTTATAACTAATATGCTATACCCTTTAATCTGTAAGGAACAAATTATGTAAAGTGGAAGTAATATTAGAGATTATTTCTTCCATTGGGAACTTATATTATGAATGAACTTTTCTATACCATGACATCACACATTATTTTAATAGTTTATTCTATTTATGGCGGAACAAAAAAATGAAATTCATTTCAGTCTTTATATAAAAAAAATAACAGGATGTGGTATGATTACAAACGAGACCAGTTTCAATCAGAGTCCAAATGACGTAGACGTTCGCAATTATTGGTCATCGTACTGCCCTCAACAATGAGCAAAACCAATAATATATTTATAGTTCATTCATCTA